AAGTCTAATTATTTCTACAAAATAAACACAAGAAAGTCAATTAGTAGCTTAAAAAGTAAAAACATTGAATAAATTTATTTGCCAATAAATTAAAATAAATTTAAGAGATAAGAATATAGTAGATAGATATTATACCCGCTTCATAAGTCGTTGCATCCTCCAAGTCCAAGTCATCTTCAGCCGGAGTTGTTGTAGATCTCAACCAATTGCTTGTACAAATCAACGCTTCAACAACCGACGAAGATAAAGAACTCTAAAATTGATCTAGTACATGACCCGATGTACTAAAAGCTTATTCGAAAGAAACTGTAGACACCGAGATTGCAAAGATATCTTTAGCCACACGTGAGAGAACCATACTGTATACTTCGATGCATTTACTTTCCACCATTCCAATACATTCAACTCAGACCTCATGGATTCACATTTATCATCAAGGTAGAGGTGTAACTCTAACTTGGTAGCATCATGTACCTCTACCTCCATCTCCTCCACATCTGTCTCCCTTAAAGGGTCAGAGGCAATATCATCACACTCACTACTACCAATAGGTAACGACTGATAATTTCTAATTGGTGGATAGGAACTGGAAGCTTGACTTTCATCTAAATTTGATGGAAGTCCTTCATAAAATTCTTGTAACACATGTCTCACAATTCCAGACATCCTTTTAGCCATTTCAAAGTCATTGGCATATACCTTTTTGTAGCACCAACTCACATATTTCATTTTAGTTTTAGGATCTAACACCACTACAATCAACACTATCACGTTGATTTTGTCAAGACTCCCCAAATACTTGTTAAAATTCTCCCTCGGTTTCTTTGACATTGTGTGAAGACAAGGACTAGAGTCTTTCTCCCAATCATTTAAAGAAGTGACAATGCCTACAATTTCATTAAAATAATTATTAGAAGTCACATAGTTGAACCCTAACATCCTATTTGTAGCTTCATAAAATTTCCTTAGAACTTGGCAAACAGAATTGCTTTTTCCCAATCTTCATCTGAAGGAGTATCATATGACAAATCAATACTGTAGTTGGGGTCCTCATCTTCCAACCTTTTAAAAGCTTTTCTGAATTTTATTGTCGAATCTAACATGAGGTAAGTCGAGTTCCATCCAGTAGCAATATCAAGACACTCCGTACCTTTACAAGCTACCATTTCTTCTTTTACACATCTTTCAAACGCTTGGGCTCTACTGGGAGAACTCCTCACATACTTAGCCGAATAACAAATTCGGCTAACATAATCCTTAATCTCGCTAAGACCATCATTCATAATCAAATTCAAAATATGAGTTGTGCATCTCATATGAAAATTGACAACATTCAAAATTAAAGCATTCCTATCCGCCAATCTATTCCTCAAGTAAGTCACTGCCACATCATTAGTAGTTGCATTATCCACCGTTATAATGGACACTTTATTTTCAATTCTTTAGTCAATAATACACTTCTCCACCACCTTCCCTATCTCCCTACCCTTGTGACTACTAGTTCTCACAAAACTCTAAATTTTCTTCTGTAGAAACCATTTCTCATCAATGAAATGACCAGTGAGATATAAGTAGCTATAATTCTGAATAGACGTCCATACATCGATTGTCAGAGCAATTCTAGACTTTAAATGCCACAACTTTTTCTTGAGTGAAACTTGCTCACAATTGCAAATCTTCGAACAATCCATTGCCACTATGAAACGGGAAACATTCTTCCATAACAGTTGCATTGCACCCAGAAATCTTCTAAACGCTGGATGTTTAACCTTTTTGAAAGGATCTTTCATAATAATTAACATTTCAACAACCAACTGCCTACACTCCTCTTGATTAAATCTCCAAGTATCAACCTCGCTATTATGCCCTCATTCCTTTTGTGTGGTCTTCAAAGAAGAGAGAAGTGTTTTCAAACTGTCTACATTGTGAGGAAACTTCTTGCAACTTGTAAGATGTTTGCACATCGAAGAAATGCCATTAGCCACATTGTACATCAGGGTCTTATCATAATACATGCACTTTCGCCGCACAATCTTGTTGGTTCTCTTTGTAAGTAATCAAAGAACTATGGCAACAGATGAAACAAAAAATTTTGGTTCATCGATTACTGGATTCCCATGATCAAGGTCTGATATATATATGTTTTACATGCAAATAAAAAAAAAAAAAAAAGATGAAATAATCCAAACAAGGATTCAGTTCATACCAACGTTGAAGGCTCCTTCAATGTCTTTGAACTCTTCGCAAATCAATCCAAGAAAAGGATTGCACTTATGATATCCACACGAAGGTATGAACAATCAAAATTTAATTAATTGACTAGATTAATTCAATTGCTTCTTCGGATTTTTCTTAAGAATTGAGGAACAATTCTTTCACAAAAAGAGGTGGACAGCTAAGACTAAGAAAGTTGCAACTCTTTTGACTTTTGTGTTTTCTCAAATGTTCATACCATGACAAGTGTTACACCACTAGAATCATAAGTTGACAAAATAACTTACATATGTTTTATGAGTTGTTATGTTTAACTGAAGAAAATGAAGTATTGATGTTGATTATGGCAAAACTTGTAGTATTGGAGGCTACATGGTGTTGAATGATTGCTATTAGAAGCGTTAATGTGTTGTTTGCATTAACTTACAATGTTATAGCAATGATGGATGATTATGGGAATGAGGTTTTACATTTCCTTCAAGATGCTAAAGACTATTAAGGGGAGGTTTATTTGATCCATAAGTTGACCTATTTGTTAATTGTTAATAGGAATTGATGTGGCATAGTTTAATATGAAAAATTCAGATTCGGTAAGTTTAGGGGTTACCAACAAATGGTATCAGAGCCTAGGTTCAATTGAGTTGAGCGCTTGACCAGCGGGTGAGGAGTTAGAGCCAGCAACTACCTCTAATAACAGGCATGACCCAACATATGGGCTTGACCGTGAGGGAGAGTGTTGGAATCTCACATCGACTAGGCACGCTCAAGCCTATTGGGTTATAAAAGGGGGTAATCCTCCCATTCAATAAGACCTTATTGGGTGAGGAGTCAGACCCATCTTAAATACCCACCTCAAATTCTATCATGGTATCAAAGCCCAGATTCAATTGAGCTGAGCGCTTGACCAGCGGGTGAGGAGTTAGAGCCAACAACTACCTCCAATAACAAGCATGACCCAACATATGGGCTTGACCGTGAGGGGGAGTGTTGGAGTCCCACATCGACTAGACATGCTCAAGCCTATTGGGTTATAAGAGGGGGTAATCCTCCCATTCAACAAGGCCTTATTGGGTGAGGAGTCAGACCCACCTCAAATTCTATCATGTTAAACATTCTTCAGTATTTCAACCATAACTTGAGTTATAAAAATTGAAATGAGATAATTCTTGAAGCACTAGAAATTTAAGACATAGCCCTATAATTTTTATGTTTAGGCCAAGAGTCAATTCATTTAGCAAATGGATGGAAAATGGCCTGAAGAATAAGCTTCTAGTTATTAAAGTTTAAGATTTAACATAATTAATTCTTGTGATTATGAATTGATTATATATTGGTGTGATGAAGCCATGTACTAATGTTTACCTATTAGTTAGATGATCTTTGAAAGATATACATGGTCATGATGTGAATGCATGATTAATGTTATGAAATGGTATGAAGATGCAATGTAATAGATGTTTTAAGATGATGAATGTGAGCAAGAGGTAATGTAAATGGATTGATAATCCATAGATGAATCAAAAGTATTAAGCTCACTAAAATATGTATTTACATGCCATAAGATGTTAAAGATGCATATAGACATTATGGAAAATGCGTAAGCATATCCTCGTATACCAGTTGAGGAAAGATAAATATATGTTTTAGCTACTAAATAACACGTAAGCACGCCTCTCGATGATATGAGCCCTAGATGAATTTGAGGCTAGATGATATTAAGTGTTGAAGATACTAAGAAAAGTCCGATCAGCTAGATGTTAAATGATTCATATGCATTTAGTTGCATTACATGAGTTACGATGTTATTTATATCATGAGATGATTTATACTCATGTTAGATGATATTTAGATGTTATATCATGACATGTGATGTGTGTGTACTATGTTTACATACTTATTTGTATGTGTACACATTGATGTTTACATAGCCATGGGATAAAATGATGAAAAACATATGAATTAGTAAGAAAAAGGAAGTATACCTAGATGTAAAAGATAAGTGGTGTATTAATAAATATGTTTAAATGAAAGTCAAATAGCACATTTAGAATGGAATTGATCATTCCTTACTGAGTGATTAGTGCTCACCCTTTCATTGTTGATTACTCTGCAGGTAAACCAGAAGCGAAAGATGCTAGAGACGCGAGGCTACACGTTAGGGGATATGATTTATTGTCATCTTGATGTAAATAATATAAATGATAAATGTTTGTGAAACACATTTGGAAGCTTCCACCATATAAATATGTTTTGATTGTGTAATTTTCAGATGAATTCTTAAAGTTTTTGCAATTATAAGTTTGGATCATGCTTGACATCTTGTATGAATGTTTTGGATATTATTATTATTATTATTATCCTTACACAGGTTTTTCTAAATACAACTCGTTCTCCAAACATGTATCCACTGGATTCTCATTGAGGGATATTCAGAGGATACCTGATTAGAGAGTGGTTTTAAATGGTAGATGAGTGAAAAAGATAACTTTGACCTTATAAGAAAGTGTTACGGTAAATATGGCAACTTTGGTCTTATAAGAAAGTGTTTTGTCAACCAAACAACAAAGTAAAAGGTAAGGGCAAAGGACATTTGTGATAAAGTTTTTGTATTTTTAGACTCCATTTGATAAGGTAAAATGGTATAGGCGATACATTTTCAAAATTTGAGGTTTTATTAGATAAAAAGTGCAAAAATTGTCATTCAAGTGAGAAATTCAAAAACCTTAGGGATAGTCTGCAATGTGTTCCCATCTCCAAATTAAAACAGTGTTGCCCTTTGACTTGGGCAACATAAACATAATTTATTTCTCTCTAAATAACTGGGTGAAAAATTTATTTGTCACTCTAGAACACTGGGTAAAAGCTCATAGAAATCACTCACAACATACATAAGAGTTACATAACATTACCTACAGGCCTAAATTACATTCATAAAGCAAGCTAGAGACATAGAAATTAGAAAAGAGATAGCCAGCTTGTAACATAAATTCAGAACCCAGTTACAAATTTTTCATCCCAAACAACTCTAGAAGTTAGATGATTTGGAAGATATAAACCACTGGACAAAGGCAGGGAGAGTAGCCGCATCAGGTCTATAGTGCTTCAACGTGAACCCCATCAAATCTGACCATGTGAAATCTGGGTAAATCCTTGACCCTTCTTTGTTAACAAGATCTTGTGGGGGTCTCACCTTTTTGTCATCTTTTGGACACACAAAAAACACCATTGATCTTCTCTCTTTGTCACTGTGCACCACTGCTCTGTGCAGGCAGCTCTTGTATTTTCCATTTGATAATGCCTACATGTATATCCCAACAAATACGTCAAGACATTATATTCTAAAATAATAAGTTTTTTAGATAACGTTTTGTACATTAATATGCAGAGTGATGCATACATGAAGTAATATTTATATTATTCACTTTGTCTCATTAGGGTTTTTGACAATTCAACTCCTACCTTACCAATTCTGAACAAATTTGCACATTTCTTTTTCAAATAATTTTGTAGTGGCTCGTCCTAAAGGTCCCGCTTTTATTACAAATAAATGAACACTCTGCGGCCACTAGATTACAAGTCGCACGAATCTCAAAGTGAGAGAATTGAAGTTGAAACCAGCAAGTAGTTGGCTTCAAATTTTAATAAAGCTATAGCTATAATCCAAAACCTTGAGGGGAAAGTATTGCTGTTCAATTGTGTCATTTCGAAAAGCTTGTTGATGTCTTAATCTTATCAAAAATATGATTAATGCAATGGCCTCATACGTGTCTCTTCTATATTATTAACGTTAACAAACTTTAATTACCCTTAATCTAACACCTTAACAATTAATGTTTCTTTTAAGTATATATTAACACCTAATTATGAATTTTCATATATGAATAATAACAAAATTAACAATTTTTTTAGAGTAATAAAAGCAAAATTAAAGGGCATTAGAAATGGATTACCATGAATGTATCGCCGAGATTTATGACTAGGGCATCTTGTCGAGGTCGGACTGTTTGCCACTTGTCATTTACAAAAACTTCAAGGCCACCAACTTGATCTTGATGAAGAATTGTTAAGGCAGTTGGGTCACTATGAGGGCCAGTTCCCATAGTGAGGCTTGAATTATTGCAAGGAGGATAATAGTTACACCTCATGATTGAGTACCCATCTTCAAAAAATTTCTTATAGTGCAATTGATCTATTCCCAAGCTAATCGCCAAGAGCTCAAAAATCACATTAGATAATTTCTTCATTGCTTCACAATACCTCTGATAAACCCACCTACCAAGAAAATAAAAAAATCATTTCAGTACGTAATATTCGACATAAATACTAGAAAACGCAATTGGTATCGTAGGTCGGTGACTAATAGCTGATTTTGACTTTTGTAGTTTGATCAGAGTCAAGTGAATGACTTTTAGTTCGTACGTTCAAAACTTTACTTACCCTGTGCGTTCAAAATCTTCTCCTAAAACAGATTTGAAGTAGTCAAGAACAACAGGGTTGGAGTTATTCTCGCAGTAAGGGTACCCAACAGAAAACGTTTCTTTCCAAGGCAACTTGGATGAGAAACGATCAGCATGAGCACCAGAGTATCCAAAAACTTGGCCTGGCTTTCTTGGAATGTTGAGTTTCTTGTCAAGAGGAAGGTTGAAAATAGAATCAATTTCTTCATAGGCTGCATTTATGAGACTTGCATCGACGCCATGGTTGATCACTTGAAAGAAACCATGCTCCAAACAAGCTTTTCTCACAAGCTCGATGGCTTCAGCTGTTGCCCTTTCATCACCCTTCATGAATCCTTCCAAGTCTATCAAGGGCTCGTTGAGCTCTTGTTGGGTATTGATCAAGTCGCCGTTTGGCCAAATGAACTCCGTTGGAATATTTGATTGCTTTTTCAAAGTAGAGGTATCGAAAATAATGAAACCCTTGTCATCATTTTTTTTGTCCATCAATGGAGGACACAAAACAAGGGGTGATTTGCTTGAGTTCATTATGAGAGACATTGCAAACAGGTTTGTACAAAAAGAAGCTTTATATAGAGGTCTCAAAAACAGAGTGTAATTAATTAGGTTTAATGAAATATAGAAAAAAGAGCAGCAAAAAATTGAATGAAAATACCTTAAAATAGTAGAATTTGCTGGAGTGGAAAAGATTAATAAATAAGAGTGAGAGAGATTTGATTATTTGAAAGAGTGAGAAGAGAAAGGCCAAAGCCGTCCTTGCTATAAGGTTGAAGCAAAGGTTGGAAGAGCTTTAACCTATATATATTGGTCACTTTCTCAAATTGTACAAAGTAAAAATGAGACCAACTACTAGTCATTATCCTATTATTGTCTCAATTCTTGTTCCATGTTCCCAAGGACCCCATGTTTAGATACCCTTATCTTTTCCTAAGACTAATAATACATTGAAAAAATCTAGGTATTATATCAATTATGTTACAATTAATCAACTTATATTATTTATAATTTTTTTTTAATATATAAATCTTTATAATTAATGTGATAGGTAGTTATAATATTTAAAATATCATCTAATGTATATGCATCACTGAAATGGACCAGTGAGAACATAAGCAGCTATAATTCTGAATAGACGTCCTACATCGATTGTCAGAGCAATTCTAGACTTTAAATGCCACAATTTTTTCTTGAGTGAAACTTCTCACAATTGCAGATCTTCAAACAATCCATTGCCACTATGAACGGGAAACATTCTTCCATAACGGTTGCATTGCACCCTAAATCTTCTAAACGTTGGATGCTCAACCTTTTTGAAAGATCTTTCATAATAATTAACATTTCAGTAACAACTGCCTACACTCCTCTTGATTAAATCTCCAAGTACCAACCTCACACTATGCTCTCCTTCATTTGTGTGGTCTCAAAGAAGAGAGAAGTGTCTAAACTGTCTACATTGAGAGGAAACTTCTTGCAACTTGTAGATGCTTGCGCATCGAAGAAGTGCCTTATAGCCACATTTACATCACTTTGTCCCCAAAATCTTGTTGGTTCTCTTTGTAAGTAATCGAAGAACTATGGAACAGACAAACAAAAATTTTGGTTCATCAATTACTCGATTCCCATGATCAGGGTCTGATATATATATGTTTTACACAAAAAAAATAAAATAAAAATAAGATGAATTAATCCAAACAAAGATTCATGCATACCAACGTTGAAGGCTCCTTCAATCCCTTAACTCTTCGCAAATCAATCCAGAAAAGGACTGCACTTATGATATCCACATGAAGGTATGACAATCAATTTAATTAATTGACTAGATTATTCAATTGCTTTCTTTGGATTTTCTTAAGAATTGAAGAACAATTCTTTCACAAAAGGGGTGGACAGCTAAGACTAACAACTGCAAGTCTTTGACTTTTGTGTTTCTCAAATGTTCATACCATACAAGTGTTACACCACTAGAATCAAGTTGCAAAATAACTTACATGTTTTATGAGTTGTTTGTTTAACTGAAGAATGAAGTATTGATGTTGATTGTGGCAAAACTTGTAGCATTGGAGGCCACATGGTGTTGAATGTTGTTATTAGAATGTGATGTTGTTGTTTGCATTAACTTACAATGTTATAGCAATAATGTGATTATGTGTAGAAGTTTTACACTTCCTTCAAGATGCTAAAGACTATTAAGGGGACGTTTATTTGACCCATAGGTGACCTATTTGTTAATTGTTATAGGAATGGTGTGGCATAGTTTAATATGAAAAATTCGGATTCGGTAAGTTTAGGGGTTATGTTAAACATTCTTCAGTTATTTCGACCATAACTTGAGTTATAAAACTGAAATGAGATGATTCTCGAAGCACTATAAATTTAAGACATAGCCCATAACTTTATGTTTAGGCCAAGAGCAATTCATTTAGCAAATGGATGGAAAATGGCCTAAAGAATAAGCTTCTAGTTATTAAAGTTTAAGATTTAACATAATTAATTCTTGTGATTATGAATTGATTATATATTGAGGTGATTAAGCCATTACTAATGTTACCCATTAGTTAGATATCTTTGAAAGATATACATGTTCATAAGTGATGCATGATTAATGTTTGAAATGGTATGAAGATGCAATGTGATAGTGTTTTAAGATGATGAATTGACAAGAGGTAATGTAATGGATTGATAATCCATAGATGAATCAAAAGTATTAAGCTTACTAAAATATGTATTTACATGCCATAGATGTTAAAGATGCTAGAACATGATGGAAAACACGTAAGCAACCCTCATATACCATTGAGGAAAGATAATATATGCTTTGCTGCTAAATAACACGTAAGTACGCCTCCCGATGAATGAGACTCTAGATGAATTTGAGGCTAGATGATATGAAGTGTTGAAGACACTAAGAAAAGTCCGTCAACTAGATGTTAAATGATTCATATGCATTTAGTTGCATTACATGAGTTACGATGTTATTACATTTAGAGTATTTATACTCATGTTAGATGATATTTATATGTTATATCATGACATGTGATGTGTGTATCTATGTTTACATACTTATTTGTATGTGAACATATTGATTTTATATAGCCATGGGATAAAATGATGAAAAGCAATGAATTAGTAAGAAAATGGAAGTATACCTAATGTAAAAGATAAGTGTGTGTTAATAAATATGTTTAAATGAAGTCAAATAGCACATTTAGAATGGAATGATCATTCCTTATTGAGCGATCAGTGCTCACCCTTTCATTGTTGATTACTTGTGGTAAAGCAGAAGTGAAAGATGCTAGAGACGCGGACTACGTTAGGAGATGATTTATTGTCATCTTGATGTAAATAATGTAAAGATAAATGTTTGTGAAACACTTTGGAAGCTTCCACCATATAAATATGTTTTGATTGTGTAATTTCCAGATGAATTCTTAGTTTTTGCAATTATAAGTTTGGATCCTGCTTGACATCTTGTATAATGTTTTGATTATTATTATTATCCTTACGCAGGTTTTTCATATACAACTCGTTCTCCAACATTATCCCCTGGATTCTCATTGAGGGATATTCAGAGGATACCTGACTTGAGAGGGGTTTTAAATGGTAGATGAGTGAAAAGATACTTTGACCTTATAGAAGTGTTAGTAAAAATGGCAACTTTGGTCTTATAAGAAAGTGTTTGTCAACCAAACAACAATGTAAAAGGTAAGGGCAAAGGACATTTGTGATAAAGTTTTTATATTTTTAGACTCCATTTGATAAGGTAAAATGGTATAGGTGAACATTTTCAAAATTTGAGGTTTTATTAGATAAAAAGTGCAAAATTGTCATTCAAGTGAGAAATTCAAAAACCTTAGGGATAGTCGTAATATGTTCCCATCTCCAAATTAAAACAGTGTTGCCTTTGACTTGGGCACATAAACATAATTTATCTCTCTAAATAACTGGGTAAAAATTTATTTGTCACTCTAGAACCACTGGGTAAAAGCTCATAGAAATCACTCACAACATACATAAGAGTTACATAACATTACCTAAGGCCTAAATTACATTCATAAAGCAAGCTAGAGACATAGAAATAGAAAAGAGATAGCCAGCTTGTAACATAAATTCAGAACCCAGTTACAAATTATTCCCCAACAACTCTGAAAGTTAGTGATTTGGAGATATATAACCTAGAGTCCATTAGGGTGATTTTGGTATTTGCATGTTCCAAAGATTTCATTATATATCAAATGGATGTCAAAAGTGCTTTCTTAAATAGGTTTATCATGAAGTTTATGTTGAACAACCTCTGGATTTTGAAAATCATGATCAGCCAAACCATGTTTTTAAACTCCAAAAAGCTTTTTATGGTTTAAAACAAGTTCCTAGAGCATGGTATGAAAGATTAAGTAAATTCTTACTTGAAAAACGTTTTTGCATGGGAAAGTAAATACTACTTTATTTATTAAGCATAAAGGCAAGGATATCCTCTTAGTGCAAATTTATGTTGAGTTTGAAATAAGTATGATAGGAAAATTGAAGTACTTCCTTGGACTTCACATAAAATAATGCGAATACTGGGTATCCTATAAAATTTATTACCCCCTATTAATTTAAAAAATGACAAATAAACCTTAAAATTTTATAAATACACCCCTAAAAATTTAAGAAAACGAGCATTTAGTAGCTTTCACTGTTCATTACTCATTCATTTGTGTCCAATCACAATCACAGATCCTCTAATCTCTAGGAAACACTTGAATTCAATCAATTCATCACAAAAATTTCTTAATCAAAACTAAAACACAAACGTTTATTGAAATAAGAAAAAGAAGCACGAGAGAACAACTAAACCAAACAAGTAAGCAACAAATTTAACACTATCTCAAAATGATCAACTTCAAAATAACCAAGAAATGACAACTATCCACATAAAATTTTCAAAAGACAAACAATACCCATTACGCATAACAATCAGAAACATCAAATAACTTCACCAAAATCATTCAAACAAACAACAATATAGAAACTAAGATGTCACCAACTTCTTTGATTTTCCCACTAATTTCAACCACTACAATTATAAAAATACAAAACAATGCAATAAGAATAACATGACTCATGTCTAATGCTCCAAATTAGGCATGGATGTTCCTTCATCAAGTGATTGAAGTCCAATCATTTCTACAAAATAAACACAAGAAAGTCAATTAGTAGCTTAAAAGGTAAAAACATTGAACAAATTTATTTGCCAATAAATTAAAATAAATTTAAGAGATAAGAATATAATAGATAGATATTATACCCGCTTCATAAGCCGTTGCATCCTCCAAGTCCAAGTCATCTTTAGCCGAAGTTGGTGTAGATCTCAACCAATTGCTTATACAAATCAATGCTTCAACAACCGACGAAGATAAAGAACTCTAAAATTGATCTAGTACACGACCCGATGTACTAAAAGCTGACTCGGAAGCAACTGTAGACATTGGGATTGCAAAGATATCTTTGGCCACACGCGAGAGAACCATATACTTCGATGTATTTACTTTCCACCAATCCAATACATTCAACTCAGACCTCATGGATTCACATTTATCATCAAGGTAGCGATCTAACTCTAACTTGGTAGCATCATGTACCTCTACCTCTATCTCCTCCACATCTGCCTCCTTTAGAGGGTCGGAGGCAATATCATCACACTCACTACTACCAATAGGTAACTGGTGGATAGGAACTGGAAGCTTGACTTTCATCTAAATTTGA